GGCCAATGCTATATTATAACAAAAATTATTTATGTCAAAAAGCCAGGAACCCGAAAAAACAACTTTTTCCCGTTTCATATTACGTCTATGGGGCAGCTTCTTTAGTTTAACCTGTTTTTTAACTTGCCCACGAGAACTACAATTTTTAAAACATGTAATCTAAAAGTAGGCTGACCTGTGGACATGTTTTTCTCCAAGTGCCGTAGTAAGCTGGGCGGTAATTTTCTACAAACTGTAGAAATTTTGCCCGTACCCTACCACCAGATGTCGATTCCTGATCATTTATCAGATTTTCAGTTCCCACGACGAAACAATCCGTATCTTCTCTCTCTCGATGAATTTTTCTCTTTTCAGCCTTCAGCGGGCGATAGTTAGTCTTCTTGAGCACGTCGAGGTACAGCATCGTCGACTCGTTCTGAGTATCGGCTTTCTTTATCGAATTCACATTGTTATCTACTGTAGCATCGGCTGCTTTGCCATCTGACTGTTTTTCACCTTGTTCACGAAGCTGGCGCCCTATAATCTCATCGATCTTATTTCGGTCGAACCTAGCTCTGGCAGCAGGTGGTACGATTGCTGCTAGCGCCATGTCTTTCTTTAGCTGGAATGGCTTAAACTTTCCTAGACTTCCATTCGATCCGGAACAAGCGGCGCCGACAGCAAAAGTACTACCATTATAAAAAGCGATCCCACCAATGGTACCATCGTCTGCCCCTATTTTAGTTCCATCACTGGGGTCTTCCGGGCCACCGGAAGAACCAGCGTCTGCGCCGCCTCCACCTGGAAGACTTTTATTCGGTATCGTCTTGACGACGAAGAATGACTTGAAAGCCTGTTTTGCTTTTTGCTTTTTAGCCTCTTCCTCTTTTTGTTCGCGCCGTTTTTCGTCCTCTTTTTTCCGTCGCTCCTCTTCTTTTTCCTTGCGAAGCTTTTCCTTCTCTTCGGGGGGGCAGGAACAAAACACGGATAAAACAACCTCCAAAAATTTTGCCCGTTAATTGGGTTCAGCCAGTAACGGCTACGATTGGTTGTTTGCAGTGCGTTGCTGGCACAAAGAGCGCTTTCATTAATTGAGCCAGCCGAAACACAAACCGTTGGCCAAGTCGATTTCCAGCCGTTCTAAATAGTTCAAATAAATACAAATGCTTGCCTGAAGGGATGGCAGCGACAGATTGTATTGCAACATTCGCGCTTATTTATGAATCTGCGTTCAGACATTAAACTGGGACAGCCCCCAAAATGAAGCGTAGAGTTCTACCCTGCAAGGAGAATTTAGTTTGCTAAAAATTCATTAGTAAATTTCGCATCTAAGAAATGTCCATGATCTCGACTGTGTCAACATCTGTCTGCAGGTCTTATTCTGTCTATATTCTCTGCTTTTGTTCTTTGAGCTTCACATACCACACATATCCTTCACGTCAAAGCTTAAAATTGGTACAGATTTCATTCACCCACAATGCAACTGCGTAGCTCGTATCTTTCTGCAGGTTTTAACCGCTGAAACTGGACGGGTTCTAGGGTGGCCGGCCGACTGCCTGTTACTAGCCTATTCCACTGATACATACACAACGTATCAAGCACGCTTCTATTCTGATTAAATGTTTCTTTAAAATATCGGCCATTTTCCATGTTAAATCATAAACGTTTATAAATAGTTTTATATTCCATTTTTTTTCGTTAGAGTCCCCTCCGCTTGTTCTATATAACCTTTCCTAAAAAGAAGGTTGCGGACTACTTTCAAAATCCTCGTGTTCCTTATATTTGGTCGACATATACAGGTAGCGTTAAATGTTTGTTTGGGTATCCAAATGCAACCTCTGCGCTGAAACTTTTTCATTTTACGACTGGCACCGTGTAAGTCGAATATAATTAGTAGTCGAATATAACTAATTAGTTTTCAGCCTTTTTTGGTCTACGTTCCCGCGTCGTTAGGTCTATGAGTATTTTTCATGCAGGCTTTTCGATCCTGCGAATAGGGAGCCCTGATCTGCTGAAGCATCGAACCTACTAATCTATGAAGCCAGCCACTCAGCGGTGGCTTCATCTTTTAGGTGATTGATGTCAGTAGATTTTGAATTATAACGTTTTCGGATAACTACCATTTTATGGTAGTAGAAGGTTTAAAATATACAACCTTCAAAGCCAGAACCTTCCTTCTGTTGCATGCTGATGTTCACGGCTTATGTCCTACCCCGCTCTGATTGTTCTCTTATACATTCTAACCTGTGTGGGTCAGCATTAAAGATTCCTTCGATGTCCTGCCTACCTTTCTCTACTTCATAGCATAAAAAATACTTATCTATGTATTGCAATCTAGTATTATGTGTTTTTATTTAATATCTTCTCTTTGATCTAACTATTCGCTGTGCCAGCGCATAGGCCACTTGCTGAAGGAAAGACATTGAAACCTATACGCGTACCAAAGTAGGAATTCTCAGCATGAACTCCCGTAGCACGTATGTAGATGGTAGTGAAATCGAACAAAATGAAGGAAAGTCAATTTCCCTGTTGAGCAGACGGCCGTTGAGCCTATCCGTGTATTGTTGCAGGGTTATTTCATTGAGAACAGGTCTTCAAGTGGAAGCCATTTCAGTCACTTCCGTGGCATTCGTTTGCAAATGTTCCTGCCTCGTATCCTTCGGCTTATCGCCATGAACATGAATAAAGCTCTGATTGACCCATTAGAAATTGTAAAATTCGTTGGTGGCGACTACTATTTATATTGGTAGTACTCATATACAGATAAAATAAAATGGATATTGCCATTTAATGCGTGGACGCCAACCGGGACAATTATATCAATACAGATAAACAGGAGTATTGGTCAGCTAGCGGACTTGGTGTTCGTCGGTTGATCATGACGCCTTCCGAGTCATAATATTACGTCGAGCTGAAGAATCGGAGATTTGCCTGGTCCGTTGGCTGATAGTAAATAGATGAAAACATTGCTCTCTGATGTATAAATCATAACAGCAAGAAATGATCACACCTACTCTTATATTATATCATCCACCCACAGTAGCCGTTAGGCGCGTGGGTTCGCGTTAGGCCAGCAAAAAGGCGCTTTGTTGCAGGAATAGAACAAATCGTACATCGAATGTTTATGGAGAGTTGTTAGTGGGTGAATTCGGTCTAAAAGAGGGATTTTCCAACTCTATTCAGTAATCTGTCTGTCGTCATACGACGGACCAACACCGACGTACATTTATCGCTATATTGCGGATCGGATTAGCTTATAGGTCAATCATGTATCCATCAATATTCGACACAATTTAAATGGTGCCATGCCACACAGAAGGGATTGCCAAAGGTGATCCAACAATGACAGAACAAAAAACAGGAGTAGAGCTATCAGCTGCTTTATAATACTTGTTGCAATATATGCGGAGCTTCAACTTCTTAGGACAACCGAAATAACCGCGTCGGCCGTAAACGCATTATCCTTATAGACGTATAAGGGTCTGTCGTGAAGTATGGCCAGCGTTTCGTTATTGGCAGGAGGAAACCTTACAATACCGTTTGTAACTTACAGTTAGCAAGAATGATTTTTACTACTCGTCACAACATAATAGATCTCATGGCTAAAGCCTGTACTTAATAATGAATGCCGCAGTTGAATAACATAATGCCCTTGCAAACACTTTGAGAATCATATTGGCCGAAAGCCATGTGGAACGTTTAAGGAATAGCTTTCTGAAAATAAAAAGTAGACAGAAAAACATCACAGTCAAGGTAGCCGGCTTAAATCTACTGACACCGTAAGAGCAGAAGCAAAAGCAGCGACGGAGCGTTTCGTCCAGATAACATCTCAGCTTTGCAGTTTCCGCAAAGCCGGTTGAAAATGATGTATATATAATAGCAAACCTTATTTCATTATGAGCAGTGACGGAAGCAGAACAAACAAACTGAAATCCAAGAATCTTGTCTCTTTTAGTATAAAAACGGCGCATTCATTAAGTTGCAGCTATGGAAGATCTCCCCTGGTTAATGAATACCAAGAAAAACTTGGTAATTTCCACATGAATGATCAAGCATGCAATACGATATAGAACATGTAAAAATTAGTTTGATTAAAAACATAGTAATAAACCTAAAAATCGACTCATTTCGATGATTTCGGTCGAGTAGCTGCCTAAAATTATGTTTGCCAGTCTTTTTTGTTTAATATCTAAAAATTTAGGAAACCGGCATTCAGGAATAATTATGTTTCATATTGCGACAGGAACATGTTGCTCGTGGACGCGCATATACAATATCGAACGTATTAACTGCAATGCTGATAACAATCTCAAAAGTGGCTCGGTCTATCGTAGGCATCCACCTTGGACTGGGGTTGGACGATCGATTGGTTACCCAGTGCTCTACATCATAACGTTAGCTGTCAGATTCCAAAGCTGTGGAGGGTATGGTGTTCGTTCTTATTTTCTATCGATGAGAGGCGCCACAGATTTCTAAAAACTCCCATCTGGCATTTGCAAAGGTCCAAGCAGTTCGACCCGGCTACTGTTTCTATTTTGGTCCGTGTGCAAACGGTCTAGGTACAGCAAACTTAACCGTTGCGCCTCTTGGTGGTGCTCTCTGCGTTTGGTTCCGTTATTCAGCGCTTTGTTGTTGTCTTCTGCCGATCGACGACGTTGCCGGAACCAAGATGATGTTCGTTGACAAAGCAGAAACCGCAATAACAATGAGGCAACAATATCAAATAGAAACAAGTATGAATCGGCTAGAGGAAACAACGTGCTGATCAGATAGCTTGGAGCATTTTCAATATAGTTTTATTTTCTGTATTGCCGAAAATCGCACCTGGATCATGTCATAACAAATAGCAGGCAGAGGCTAGTCTTAACAAAAACTATTACGACCACTTCTCGACAGACAAATTTAGGGGTAGCGCTCGCATAAGGTCGAATTGCTGAAAGAAAGCTGCTTTCATTATGAAGTCAATGCGCCTCTCACTGGTCATGATCTGTTAATCAAAAATCATGCGGAAGACCTACTAGATGGTTATTGCAGGTCAGTGGTGTTACCCTCCAATATAGCCTACCCCTATCGCGCCGCGTTTAAGTTCCTTTTTCACAGTTGATTTTTTCCTTCCCTTTCTCTTGGCGTTTAGTCTGGCGGCAGGTAAGCATCCACCGACCACTAATGGACATCTACGAGGGGCCCATCTCGGATTCGTCGTCATCATCAACGGCCTCATCTCGGTCTTTCTGCTGTTTCTGCCATGTTGGTCTACCACTTCATTTGCAGCAGTCCGACACCATCAGCATCAACAACGTCGATAGTAGTACCTATTCTTTTCGTCTTTTCACTCTGCCTTACCAGCAACATAAGTTGCCTTTGGTTAGACACTAGCTAGCCAGCTCTACGACTATGAAAGTCATGGGCTCCTTTTCTACGTTGGTTGCAATAGAAGATCAAGCAACAGCAGCAGAAGGAGAAACACCGTTCCCCATAGCCTCTTTCCGTTCGCGCTACCACCGCCGCTGCCGCATCGAACAGAAAACATGCACTGGCCGCGCGCACACCATCCCACCAACCCATCACCATCTTTTAGCGCTGATGTGGCTGCTGCTGCTACCACATTTTTTATTGATCTACTCTCCTGTTTTTGCCGCTGCCGGCCTAACGTTGCTGTTCTGACGAAGAGCTCAGAACGTTTGGCCATGGCAAGCGCTTGGATCGGCTAAGGAACGCAGCGGCGATTCTGCTGTGACCCGCCGACCGACCGACCGACCGACCGTCTACTTGACGTAGATGAAACAGCTTGCCTCGCATCGCACCGGGGCCTCTCAAGGGTCAAGGCCCTCCTCGCCCCGTATATTCCCCCCACTACCCCCTTCCCCCGGCCCGGCCCGTTGCCTGCAGGCGGCCATCTACCTCGCGCGACTACCTGATCTTCTTTCTTGGGCTCGCAACCCTCACTGCCTTTTGCGCTTCAGATCGGGATGGCTTGCTCGATCGGTGGATCGCTGGCTGACTGACTGACTGGCTGGCTGGCTGGTTGACTTGGAGTAGATACGTGCTCCTTTTCCTTTCTTATACATCTTGCTTCTGCCGCTGCCGTTCACGAAAGCCAAAGGCGAACGAAAAAAGAAAGCCAAGCCGGCCCTGCTGCGTCACAGAGTCCAACGAAACGAATCAGGGACCTTCCGTCTGATTATCTCTTCTGTAAATTACCACCGAAAACCATTGCCAAGCCTAATGTCGAGGTTAACACTCGGGTGGCAGCACTCGACTGCTGTCGTTTCGACGTGTAAGCTTAAAGTTTATTAGTAATTAGCAAACAATCGTATACCATTATTGCTATACACAGCGGTCGTAGGTACTTCAGTGAGAGCCATTGCTGCTACGTCGAAGTTTATCAAGCGTTTCCTGAAATTCGAGGTAGTTGATAAAAAAGAAAACAGAAAAATGACTTTGGATGCACGAAATAATAACGTTACTTAAAGGGAAAGATAGCCTCGTCAAAAGCTAGGAGA